TAAGTGAGGCCCTGCTGAAAACTGTCCATGTAGGTACAGCATGTTACTGCAGCTGCTGGTTTCAAACCTTGATTTGGGGGACTTGATAGAGACTCAGTTACAAGGGACGTTTAAATGAGCTTTGTAAATGCCACCAGTTGTTAAAGTACATGAAACAATCCTCCATATGATCCCCTTTAAGGATCAGATGGGTTTTCTCCCCTGGTAATTTCTAGATGTTGTGGTGGTAATAAAGTAATTGTAGTAATTTTATTTATTACACTAATGCCTATGTTGACCTTTGAAAATATTATAGTTTAGTGACTAAAAGTCACAAAAACAGAGACATCTCTGAGGTCCTGTGTAGCTGATTAAGGGGAATTTTTTGATATTCAAATATTCTGAAAGAAGTTCAAGACTATTTGTTTAAATGGAAAAACAACATTCTTCAAGATTACAGTTCTGAACTGTCTCGTGTAAAAGAGACTTACACATGCAGAGAAAAATCATACACCCATGTATTGGCCTCCCCAAGAGCAACTGAGGCAGAGAACACGTAGGACCCTTCCTTCCCTTGGTATCCCAAACCCCTGTACCCCGTCTCCCAGAGACCCCAGAAAGCATCAGAGGGGTCCATGGGCACAATGACCAAGACCACAGAAGAGGATGCCTGTGTGGATGCCACAGAGACACAGACGTAGGTAGCCTGAGCCACTTCACTCGGATGGGTGGGACGGGGAGGAGTTACTCGCAGCCTGAGTATTGCTCTCCTTCAGCAGGCTAACAATAGCTCATAATCGGACCCATAAGTCAAATAATCAGGCTCAATAAACAGTTGTGCTTCTTTTCATAGTAGGATAATTACATAAAATACATTTTGAAAGTCAGTAATTACTTATTTACATAGTATTTTGTAATGAGCTCCAGAAAAGTAATTATAATCTTTATGGCAAGCCTCACGAGTGCTTTGAACATCAAAAACACCATGGGTGATAACATTACCATGATAAAGACACGCCATGGTTGGGCTGTGGTCGGGTTTACTGGTCCTCACCTTGCCACGCCTTGCTCTGTAACTTGGCTACCTCTGTATAGTAAATATTCTTTTAGGAACATACACGATAACATGGGATCATGTATAAGGTCACTGAGGATCAGGGGCGCTACTTAAATACAGATTAGTACGCGCCAAGGCCATAGTTCCCACAGCGAGTATGGTGTGGAAAGGGGAGAAACCCCGTCAGGCCTCCTTCTAATGAGGTAGACCCAATCGGTCAGTTACATGGCAGCAAGTTACTGATCAGTCATTAACCTCTAATGGCTGCTATTGTTCTTGTTATAATATCTAAGGCTGTCCAAGGTTAAGAAAAAAATCGCCTGAGTTTTGGATTGCAGCTATGAACTTCAAGACATCTGGCTTTGCACCTTTTGTTGCAGTAGAGCTTGTGGGTGACATACCCTTATGAATATTATTTTAATTACACCTTGTTTCCATAAAGGATTTGAGGGAGACTATAGGAACTATATACCATAATACCACTGTCACTACTGCAATTCATTCAGTTCTAGCACTTGTAGCCGCCCTTGAAAAAATTACTCAGGAGAAAGTATACCCCAAAAAAAGGAAGTTGTAAAATTGGATCTCTGGAAGTCTTTAAATAGATTAAATCATGGTCTTCCTTTGGCGTGGTCTTTCGGGATGAAACAGACTTTCTTTAGGAGCATATCCTTCCAAATGGTACTTCTGGTTGCTTTTTTTTACTCCTACATTCTCTTATGCGTAAGTGTAACTTAACATTTTCTATTTTCCAACATTATAACTGAATAGTTGTTTTCTTTCAGGGTTTTATTGACTGTGTGTGAATGGCTCCCCATTGTTTTGAGCTCTATAAATATCCGTGATAAATCTATAGCATGATAAAGATGACAATAGCAGACATGTACTAAGTACTTGTATGTGCTACGTACCGCAGTAAGTGCTCTACAAATGCATGTTAACTCATTTGAAAGGGTTTTATTTTAAATAGGCTCTGTGGTGCTCCATTTCATAAAGCAAATAATACTCCGCAAAAATTTAGATTTTAATCTACTTAATATATTTAAGCCAAGGCTTGCTTGCAAATTATATATAGACGTACAATTTTTACAAAACAGTTTTCGCTTCCTAAGATCAGTGATTCCTAAGATCTGCGACGTGTGTCAGGCCTGTCTTAAGCATGTTACATAAAGCATCTCATTTAACCCTCACAGTAACCCTAAGAGAGAAATATATCCCTATTTTAAAAACAATAAAACTAAGTTTCAAAGAATGCAAAAACTTGTCCTGTATGTGTGTGAGCTACGATTCAAACCTGAGTCTGACCCTCCTGTCTTACTGTATGTAAGTGAGGAATTTTCTTCTTTCCCACCCATGACGGTATGAGAATATTTGGTGCATCCCTCGTAGAGGGAGGTGAGAACACAAGCACCCCATGCAAACACATCAACTATTCTGGGAAGCACTAAAAGAAGTGCACACAGGACTGCTTAGAGATGGAGATGCAGGCTGGTATGTCAGCTGTCAGTGTGACAGAGAAATGGGGTCCCGGACCTTAGGGACAGCTCTAGGTGTTGAGGGAAATAACCCTGAGACAGAAACTACGCAACCTGGCACCTTGGAGCCTGGGAGGGAGGTTCCTCTCCAGGGAGGTTCCTAGGACTGGACTCCAGGGAAGTGAAAACAGTGCTATTCCAGACAATTCAGTCCCTAAGTCCACCAGCTAGCACTCTGGGGTGCGGGCACAGCCCCACACGCGAGGGCAAGGTCAGGTACATCAGCATTCCTCCAGTTCCCTGACAGTCCACATCCAGTTCCTCCCTCCTGTTTGCCCATGCTGACCGAAGGGATTTTCTGTTCTCCTCACTTTCATGTTTATACAGAGCCTCCCACCCCGGCACCATGTAACTCTGCCAGCAACAACTCACAGAAATGTTTGGGGAGGGAGGAAAAAACTGGACTACACTCAGTTTTAAACTAGTTTAAAGCAGAGGTTCCTTCCCACCTTTGGCCTCAGATCAATTAACCAGTTTTTGCTCCTACCACCTCCTCTGTTTATGGAAATGTTTTGAGCAATGGCCGGTGAATAGACTCAAAATAATCTGGCTGTCCTATACTACACATGCCAATGATAAACAATGATGACTGCACTAGGTACAGCATTTTTTCCAGCTATTTTCAATGTCTTTCCCATCGAATTCACAGGCAAACAGACCTCAGGAAGAAAGTGCTGTGAGTGAGTGTCTCTAAAGCCACCAGCACCCCCAGAAGTTCTGCTTCTAGGTACCGCCAGGGGACAGACAGCAGAGCGGCAGCAGCCACACACGGTGGACAGATGGAAGCCCCAGAGGATCTTCCACAGAAGCAAGATGGCACCAATCTGCCCTGACAAGTGTCATGGTGGCCATATGGGAAACAAAATGGACTTAGCATAAAACACAAAAGGAATGACCAGTCTGACTCAACACCACCCGACACTGCATCTTTGACTCCATATCAGCCCTCAGTATCCCCCTGTGTCTTTCTCATCCTTTCCTGTGTCTTTAACCGATAGTTGTCTAAAGGAAAGTCATTCCAGTCAGGGAAATGATAACTAAAATTCCATACACTGCGCAATTCCCCAGGAAATCGTACGTGATTCATGAAACAGCAGTTGTAATGAAAAGTGGCGACAAGGTTTTCCAAAGAGTCTTGCAGTTCTCCCTCCACCCGTCTTCTTTCCCTACTCACCCCTACGGGAGTCCATCTGCCGCAGAAAACGTGAAGGCACTAGGACCAGAGAGCCCTTGCCTGCTATGTGCTTGAGAAACAAAGCCTTCCCTCCTCCCAAGTTGAAAGAAATAAAGGAGTCTGAACTAATCAAAACCTGCAAGCCTGCTGGTGGAGCTTCAGCTTGTCAGTGATGCAACTCAGCGGAGTGAGTAACGGCTTCGAGCTTTGCAGAAAATAGGAGAGAGAGAGAGACAGAGACAGAGACACAAAGAGAAAGAAAGAAAGGCATTAACCTGGCCAGGAGTCAAACAGGTGCAGGGAGCCCGAACGCCGGGACGAGTGTCTGACGAATCAGGGTCCGGCCGTGCGTGCCTCTGTGGGCCTACGTCTTTATTTATGGAGGGCGGGGCCATGGCTGCGGCATGTACGTCGGGGGTGAACTGAGAGATTTATTTTTTATTCACGGGACTCCTACGGTTGGCCAAGAGCCTTTAAGTCGACTCATCAGTTTGAAGTTTCCGTGGACACGTTCTGGCTCTCTGTGACGAATTCTCCACGGTGGAGAAGTGGCCTGGTTGTTTACCCCGTGCGCTTCCACCATTAGCCACAGATGTCCGTGGCACCTTTGGAGCAGTGGACGTGTGCGCACGGGGGCCGCCCACCCGAGGGCGACAGCAGTGTGCTCTGCGATTCACAGAAAGGCTGCCTCGGTCTCGAGCTGGCGGCTCAGAAGCCACAAATTGCCTTTTAAGACTCTTCCAGGCCTCACTGCACTTGAAATAACTAGATAAGGATCTTAAGTTTGCAGGTGCTCTCTCTTGAAACTGGTTAGCTTGGACTCTTGGGATTTAAAAGCCTTTAGAAATGGAGGGCTGCGCCTTAACCATCATTTCATTTACAGGCAGATGTTAGGAAAAGAAAGGAACACAAGCAGAGGAAGGCCTGGCAGCAGACCCTCAGGAGAAGGCCCTCGGTGTGAGACAAGTGCCCACCAGTGGGGCTCCGGTTCATCAGGACTAAGACTGGGTGGCATTAAATACCATCTTAAGAGAATAATGCCATCTCTGGAGGATTTTCAGTCTCTTGACTTAAAATGTCAACATGTTTGATAACCCCGTAATTCAGAAGGCCCAGTCTGCCAGCTGCCAGAGCCCTGCCCACGTGCATCTAATAGAGAGGTGCTGTGAGCACAGGTGAGATAGACTCGGCCCTTCCTGCGACCCCAACCCACCCCCGCACAGGAGTGGGTGTGCAGTTAAAGTGTGGTCTTTACCTGAAATGCGCCTGGGCACGTCGGTGATGGCAGGAAGCCCCGTGCCCCGTGTGGAAGACAGCGGGGTGGTGGAGTGAATGGACGGGGACGTCATCTGGCTCAGGTAGGAGGGATAAGACTGGTCATAGGACCACGGTGGGGAAGACTGTGCCTGCCTGGGGTCTGGGAGAAAGAAGAAAAATCTTTAGTATACCAGCTGCTGTGAAACCAAAGTTAGAAAGAAGAAAGCAGAACAAAAAAAAAGAATATATAAGCTCCACTTATCCCCCACAGCCCCATCCTCTCAGGCCCTGTGTAGCCCAGAGCCTTGCAGACTGTAGGGGCAAGAAAATGGATTGCACACAAGGACTGCTCGTCTCTCACAGAAATATTTTGGTTTGGAAAGTCTAATGGTCCTTAGGAAACAATCTGCTTCGGTTATCTTTACAAAGCTGCATTCCATTTTATTTATTTTCTGTATTTTCTAATTTACTCCAGTAAACACGTATTACTTTTAAGTTTACTTTTCTGTATTTTCTTTTAAGTTTAAAATGTTTTTGGACAATTAACTAGGTTGAGGAACAGGTGGACAGCTGCTTCTTACTGCTGCATGTCCAGCTGCTCTCTTTCAGACGTGCATTTTGGTTTTAGCATGCACGCTTCCATCATTTTAGCACAGTGCACTTTCCGTCCAGGCAGGTCAATGGGATGGCACTTCTGGCGTAGGGTGAAGAGGTTTCGGGTAGAGATGAGAACAGAGGAGGCAGCAGGTGAGAAGGACAGAACAGAGGGAAGTTAGTTATATCATTCTCGGGGTAAAGTTACTCCAGAAAATAACCTTCACAAAAAGACAAAATTTAGTTTCAAAGTTAAGTAATGCTAAGAACTGAAAAGCTGCATTACTGTCCAGACAGTAAGAAAATGACCCAAAGCAGGAGAATAGGGAAATGTCTCTAATCCTTTTGGAATCTGTTTCAAAAGATGTCACATGTTAGGAATGTGACCTACTGTTACCTACAGTCACTGTAATAAAAATAGTGGGCAGCCGACTTGTTAGGGTTAACTGCTGAGCATTAACAATATGTTTTGATGTATCTCTATGGAATTTCTTGGAAGTACAAACTCAATTCAGGGCCAAGAAGATTTATCAGAAGAATCAGTCTACATAAGAAAGAAAGATACATTTGCTATATGTTTCCAGGTTGGAAAAGGTGTATATGTCAAACTGCTTTGTTCTTACTTGAAAGCTAATCAAACAGAATCATAAGCCAATTTCTCTCAATATTTCTTTTGCTAATTTTAAACATGTTTGTTAATTTTTAAGTTTCTAATATACCAGGCCATTCACAAGAACAGCTATGTATATGAGAATATCTGTGGACTTTGGAATGTTCCGAATTAGGTTCAAGTTCTGAGACTTCCATTTTCGAGCTGTGTGACCTTGGGATAAGTGCTTAGCGACTCTGAGCCTCAGTTTCCTTATCTACAAAAGGGGTTGGGGGGGTAATAACATCTAAATCACAGGAACGTGAAAGTTACACGAGAAAACAAGGCAGAGAGGACTAGCATAGGAGGCACTCAGTAAGTAGCAATTCTTCTCTTTAAAAAACACCTCTTGGTGACACAGGGATAGTTCCATGGTTAAAACACATTTACACAGAAGTTCATTCATTGGTTAATAGGATTAAAATTATTCCCACATCGCCTACCAGCCTCTGACTATGAAAAGCTTAATTTTCAAAAACTATTAATATATTTGAATAGTCAATTCAGGTTTATCTCTAAAAATAAAAATAACAAGACATTGGTCTTTCTAAGATGATTCCTTTTTTAAGCCTTTCAGTTTTTCTATACAGTCAAAGTAATTTAGTTTCAGCTATTTCTCGTTTATTTGTTCAATTCAGAAACAATTTATTTAAAGACTTTCTAAATAGGACATACTTTTCCTGAGTCAAAATAATTAAACACATCTGGGTATTTATCTGATATTTATTCTATCAACAAACATATAGAAAAGTTTCATCCAATTCAATTTTAAGAGACATTTACCTGAGTTTGCAATTTGAATAAAAGTATAGTACTCTAAATGGTTACCATAAACTTTTCCTTTAGAAATCTAAAGGACACTTGATTGTTAAAATAATGAACTTTTGTACTTTAAAATGTTCAAGGCTGAGATTGTATAGATTGGCAATATTTCAAATCTGAGTGAGTGGTCCTTGTTACGTATCTGATACTGACTTCCTTGCTTTAACCATAAATGTAATTCATTATTCAGAGAAATGGTAAATGATCTTCAGATGGAAAAAAAATGCATTCCTCACAGCACCAGAAGCAATCTAATAAAGGCAAGGCCTCCTTTCAAGCAACATTTTCAACAGACAAAAAGTTCAAGAACTACAGCGCTAACCGAGTTGGGCACACAGTCACATTTGGATGTGAGTTCTAATCTAACCTCCCCAGATGACTTCCTGAGCAGGTAGTGTAGCCTATGTGCTCAGTCCTCCACCGTAACATGTTGTTACCAGTAGTATGGGGAGCTCCCTGCCCCCAAATGAGAAAAACAGAAAGAAACGTAAAGAGTAACTACAGTTACTAAGGTTAAACGTATCACAAAAGGAATTAGGGAACTGATACGCTCTTTCGGTTCTCCTCGTGGAGAAACACACTTCAGTGCCGAGCAAACCAGCAGCTTTCTGACGAGAGGATCTAAGCTGAGGTCCAGCTCTGCTATTTACAAGCTGTACGACCTCGGCTGTGCTCACATGCTCTCTGTGCCTTAGTTTCCCACGTGGAAAATGAGACAGCACAACACGGTAAAGTGAGTACAGCAAAGTGGTGACATGTACTGGGCCAGGCAGATAAGCCTGGGCTGAATCACACAGCTCCCCGCTGTGCTAACCAAACGACTGAAACTTTGGGGCCTTAGCTGCTGCTCATCTGCAAAAGGGGAATAGTGATGCTTATTGGAGTTGGTGTGAGTATTACATGAACCATACCTTATATGATAAGTTATCTGGCACTCTTGGAAATATCATGTGTATAATAAATAGAAGGGATTATTGCTATCTGTAAAATGACTATAATAGTAACTACTATTATTTTTGTTTATAAAAGTAGATGGGATAATGTAAATACAAGCATTTGGATAACTGTAAAGTACTATATTAAAACATTCTCTTGAAAAGCTCATGTCTTCAAGGCCCTGCTGTTTGACATGGGGTATGTTTCTTAATGTTGCTGGGCTTTAATTTCCTTATCTGTAAAATGGGCGTGATAACGCTATCTCAGAGAGTTGCGTAAGCATTAAGTAACATAGAGTGCATGATTATTATTCAAAAAAAATTAAAAATATAACCCTAACCATCCACGATAGCTAGATTTCCTAGTGTTATTCTTGACAATTTCCATGATCACATTCAGCACAATTCAACATCATGCCTGGCACACAGTAGGTGCTCAATAAACCACCACTGAATGAACTTTCCAGGGTGGCCTGAGTGAATAGTGGAATTTTACATTAGTAGTAATTAGTCATTTTCTAACTTCCCCTATAAAAAAATTTATATTGGTGAGGTTTGGGCTTTTATATAAACTTCCTGGTTGCCAGAGTATATACTAAGATGGTCTATTAATGGACAGTTTTAACTTTTAGTGGAGGTCCTTGCTGAAGATATCCAAGATTAGCAAAAATAACTTCTTGCTATCCCTAAACAAGCAAGAAGATCTCTCTTGGTGAATTTTTTCCAGGCTCTTGGAGGGCAGGCTGCAGCCCAGCCATTCTCTCTCAAGGCTGCCACCCTGATGCTCTATGATAATGACCCACTTAAGAAGACGGAGTTACTAAAGGAAATAAAACACACAAACTGCCATGTGAGGATCCCTAGATTTTAGTGTAAGTAATTTTAAAAGGGCCAGTAATATTTGTAACATTTTTCATTGAATTATAGTTGACATAAAATGGTATATTAATTTTAGGGTACAGCATAGTGATTAAACATTTATATAACTTATGAAATGATCGCTCCAATAAGTCTAGCGCCCATCTGACACGATACACAGTTACTACAATATTATTGATTACACTCCTTCTGTCGGACAGCAACCTGAAATACAAACAATGGTCTCCAGACACCCTGGGCCTCGCCCGGTGCCCCGTGAAGGAGCTGCTCTCAATCCCAGCTCCAGTATTTCTGGCCTGGGTGATCTCCGACAAATTATACAACCTATCTGAGCTTCAAGTTTGCTAATCTGTGTAATGGGGATAAATAGACCTCCCTACTTAAGCTGTTATGAAGATTAAGTGAGATAACATAGTAACAAACTTAGTACAGAAAAGAACCCAATTTATGTTCAGCAGTGTTAAAACCCACGCCTTTACAGAACCTTCATTCTGTGCATATGTTTCCAGCCCGCAGACTCTTACTGCAGCAGAGGACAACATTGAGAAAGCTTCCTACAGTTCTGAAGCCCACCAGTGAGAGACGCTGTGACGACCCTATCAATGCCCAGTACAACCATCCAATCTCAGTCATGTTCCTTCTTAAGTCTTGCTTCCTCCCAGATGGAGAAATCCTAATCTACTTTAGTGTGTTTTCTACTACTGTACACTTCAACTTTTTTCAAAATTTCAGTGGAGAAAATGGCTATAAAAATATCTTGACTTCCTAAATGCCCAATCACACACACAAAAAAGCCATAACCTTATCATAAATATATGCCTATTTGCTTGGTTGTGGACAATTACTAAAGTTTACAGTAGAAAAGAGTCACCTTAACCTGATCTCCTAAAAGATTTCTGAACTCAACTTCCTGAAGAAACCTGAGACTTCTGAGATTCACTCGCAACTTGGGTGAGTCAGAGCAGGTGACAAATGTTTTTCACGTATCACCAGTCAATCCTAAAGCTACTGACAGGGAAGAGCACAGGGCCCAGCTCTGAGACAAACCTGCTAATCAACCACTAACGAACAAGAAACTGGCTTCATCTCGGCCTCTGGCCCCACAGAGCTGGTGTGATCCATTCCTTGCCTCTACCCCGTCCAGAGTTACACTGAACCGTTTGTCTTTTATGGTTGGCAGAAACATGGAGGGAAGAACCATTTCCCCCACTCCGACATCAACAAGAATACCCTTGATTTTTGTGTCTCAGAGAATACAGGAGCCAATCACAGTCTTGCTGT